AAAAAAAAAAAAAAAAAAAAAACAGCTCAGTGGGATTGGAACATCCAGTAGCTCGGTGGGATTGGAACATCCAGTCTGTGGAAAAGACACTGAGGGGTTTTCAGCCAAGGAGTGACATGATCAGAGGTACTTTCTAGAAAGGTCACTCCAGCTGCTGGAGGAGGTGGGAGGGAAGCAGAGACATCTACCAACTTGAAGGACATCTGAACGGGACATGGTGGTGAGAGAGACACAGAGGAGGCTGAGGAACGGAGGCATCGGTGATCAAAACTCCACTGCAGTTCATCCTACACTGCCCAGATCCATGGACCATGTTGCAACAGACATCAACATTTTAATTCACTAACTAAATGTACTCTGTGTATTCCAGAACCAGAAACTTCTTTTCTACTTCTCTCTCTCCGTATTTCTCTCTACTCCCAAAAGATGGATCGCACAGCACTATGTCCACAATGAGTAACCTCTGTATAAATACATGGAGCTTCTAGAAAGTGAAAGATCTGGCATTTTCCATCTGTAAGACGCAAAGAGAGCCATGATTAAGCATTGCGGTTGTGGACAGGCGCAGTGGCTCATGACTGTAATCCTGTAATCCCAGCACTTTGGGATGCCAAGGCAGGTGGATCACTTGAGCTCAAGAGTTTTGAGACCAACCTGGGCAACATGGTGAGACACAGTCTCTATTAAAAAAAAAAAAAATTATCTGGGCACAGTAGTGTGTGCCTGTCCTGTAGTCCCAGCTATTCAAGGAGGCTGAGGCAGGAGGCTGGCTTGAGCCCAGGAGGTCAAGGCTGCAGTGAGCCGAGATCATACCGTTGCATTCCAGCCTGGGTGACGGAGTGAGACCCTATCTCAAAAATTAAAAAAAAAAGAATTACAGTTCTGGAGTCAGAGCTGGTTACGCTACATGCAACACCTGGGCACACTGCTTAGCTTTCGGGCCTCAGCATCTTCATCTGTAAAACAGGGACACTGGGAGCCTCTATCTCAGAGGATTCTTGCAAAACTACAAGGGATCCTACATGCAAAGTGCTTAGTGCTGTGCCAGGCACAGAGTAAGCCACGAGAGCTATTATTGGGAATCTGTCTTCTAAATCAACTCAGCAGCCTCTCCCGACCCCTCAGCCCTTGCCCCTCTGGCTCTGTCCCTCTGTCTGAATCATCCTACTCCCTTTCCATGTCTTGACTGCTGGTTGGCTGCTATTTCTCCAGATCTGGGATATGTCATAATGTGATTGATGCACCCAATCATAAAAATAACCAGTTATTTTGATGTGGGGTGCGTCATCCCTAAAAATAACTGAGCACTGTGGAAGTGAAGGCACCGAGGCAAATGTTGGTTTGCATTGTGAGTGCACACACACCAACATGCACACACACAATATGCACACATACACACCAACATGCACACACCCTCACACCAAAAGACACACACCAACATGCACACTCACACCAATATGCACACACATATACAAACTCACACCAACATGCACACTCACACCAACATGCACACCAACATACACATACACAAACATGCACACACATATAATCACATCAACATGCACACACACAATATGCACACATACACACCAATCTGCTTACACCCTCACACCAAAAGACACACCAACATGCACACTCACACCACCATGCACACAAACATACACATACACAAATGCATACACATACACATACACTCACATCAACATGCACACACACACAAACATGCACACACAAACATCCACACTCACACCAACATGCACACATACCAACATGCACACACACACCAACATGTACACACACCAACACACGTACACCAACATGCACACATACCAACATGAACACACATATACCAACATGCACACACACACAGAATAGTCACTTTAAATAGGATGCAGAAACACACCAACTTCAATCAAGGGGGAGAAAAGCCTCCCTACTGCACCCCCATCGCTCTCACGGCCCGCTGATGATGGTGACAGCTTATTAGAGGGCTCTTGTCCAGAGGCAGCCCAGCAAGGGGCAGAAGGAGACAGCCTAACTATAGTATCAGAGAACACTGCTTACGGTTTTCCCCAAGCTGCAGCAAAGTGATTGACTTCCAGCCCCAGTAACTTCCAGGACTTCATTTTCCACAAGAACGCCCCTAATTCTAACTTGGTGTCACGCTTCTTTCCTTTAGCAGAGAAATGCCCCCAAGACATATCATCCTGACTTGCAGGGCAAAGGACACCGACTCATCATTCTTCCAGCCTCTGGAAACGGGTCCCTTGCTGTTGACAGTGCCTCGGAAGAAATTCATTCTTTATTGCTGAAACCACTTTCTTCTTTCCTGTACCCTTCGGGGATGATGGGCACAAGGTTTGAAAAACCTAGAATTTTTAAAAATAGATGAAGCTCAACTTGCCAACAGTGTCACCTTCCTGGCGACATCATCTTTGCCTCCTCCTGGCAGATACCACCTCAGCCTTCTGGAATACGATGCCACCTTTTCTCAGGGAGCTCAGCATGCCAAGTGGAACAGGCTGGAATGCCAGAAGAGCACAAGATTCGGAGAAGTGGCTCAGGACTGTTGGGACACCAAGACCCTCTGGAAGGGACCCAGAATCTTCACAGATGTCCCTGGTTCCCAGAGAATGACATTTGCCTCCAAGATGCAGCAAAGAGTCTGCGACAGCTTGCTGCCAGGAGTTCACAGTGAGTGAAGGTTGGAGACAGAACCCTGTGGTTGTATGTATGTATGTACGCATGTATTTTAGAAATAGTGTCTTGCTCTGTTGCCCCAACTGGAATGCAGTGGTATAATCATAGTTTACTGCAGCCTTGAACTCCTGGGCTCAAGCGATCCTTCTGCCTCAGCCTCCCAAGTAGGTGAGGCTACAGGCATGTGCTACCAATTTTTTGTAGAGACAGAGTCTTACTATGTCACCCAGACTGGTCTCAAACTCCTGGGCTCAAGCAATCCTCCTGCCTCAGCCTCCCAGTGTGCTGGGTCTACAGACATGAGCTGCCACATCTGGCCAAAGCCTGCATTTTTTTTGAGACAGGGTCTCACTCTGTCCCCCAGGCTGAAGTACAGTGGTATGAACACAGCTCATTGCAGCCTTAACCTTCTGGGCTCAAGTGACCCTCCTACCTCAGACTCCTGTGTAGCTGGGACCACAGCCATGTGTCACCACACCTAGCTAATTTTTTAATTTTTTTGTAGAGATTGGGGGTCTTGCTATCTTTCCCATGCTGGTCTTGAGCTCTTGGACTCAAGCAATCCTCCTGCCACGGCTTCCAAGATGCTGGGATTACAGGCGTAAGCCACCATGCTGGGCTGGCCTGCACTGAGACACAAGCATTGCCTCTTACTAGTTAGGCCTTTGTGAGCAAGTGCACGTGTGAGCCTCAGTTTCCTAGTGTGTAAATTAGGGAGAATAATACCTAACTAGTGAGGAGATGGTGAGGACTGAGCGAAATGATCTAAGGAAATTACGTGCCAGGCGTAAGGTAAAAAACAAGTTGTCATTATCATCAGCATCACGTTAGACAAAGGTGGGAGGGATACAAACTGCCCTGTCAATTTCCAAACCCATGCTACATTCCCCGGAGCACCTAGTGATATTTTACACCCACAGGAATCTCATCATATTGGGCAAAGACTGTGGCCTTCACAGTCAAACAGGTCTCAGTTCAAATCCCAGCCCTGCCCATTGCCAGGCATGTACCCTTTATTTCCCCAAGCCTCGGTTTCCTCAGCTGTAAAATAGCGTCCATGATGCCTAATTCCCAGAGCAGAGGGGACGATAGACATGCCAGGAAGGGCTCACAAGACGGGTCTGCCCTCTGCTTCCCCTTAACAAGGTGGCTTAAGCAAAGCAAGAAATGCTGTGGCTCAATTAACCCTACAGATCTCCACCTCAACCCAAACGTTCATAAAACCCCCATGGCGTTCAGTCCCAGACCTGCTGCCCAGCCTCGAAAATGCCCAGCAACTCTACAGCCAGGGAGGTCAGCCCAAAGTCTCTTAATTCTCCTGCTCTCTCATTAAACAAGCACTCACTAAGTGCCTACTGAGGGTCGAGCTTTGAACTGGAGCCTGGAAACAATGAAGAACAAATGGGCCAATTCGGCCCCTGCTTCCCAGAGCTCACGATGCGATGGTGAAGAGATCACCACGCAAAGACTGGGTTAGGCCTCCTCAAGAAAGTGAAACCTAGAATGACCACAGGACTCAGCAATTTCACTTCTAGGCATATACCCCCAAATTAAAAACAGGTGCTCAAACAAATCCTGGTATGCAGATGTTCACAGCAGCCCCCTCTTCACAACAGCCAAAAGATGGAAACAACTACAATGTCCATCAACAAGGAATGGATAACAAAATGCAATCTATCCATACAGTGGAATATTATTCAGCCATAAAAAAGAACAAAGTATACATGCCACAGTTGGGTGAATCTTGAAGACATTTTGCTAAGTGAAAGAAGCCAGATGAAAAGTGTCACATATTACAGGATTCCACTTACATGAACTGTCCAAAATACGTAAATCCATGGAGACAGAAAGCAGATGGATGGCTGCCAGGGACTGGGGGAAGGAGGGCATGAGGAGCGACTGTTTAATGAGTACAGGGTTTCTATTTGGCGTAATGACAATACTTCGGACTTTTTGCCTACCTCCCCCCGTTACTCCAGCCCGGGCAACAGAGCGAGCCTCTGTCTCAAAAAAAACAAAACAAAACAAAAAAAATAGTCCAGGGTTTCTATTTGGTGTGGTGACTATACTTTAGACAGAGGCATAATTGCACAACACTCTGAATGCACTAAATCATTCACTTTAAAATGATTAATTTTATATTATATAAATTTCACCTCCAATTTTTTTTTTTTTTTTTTTTTTTTGTAACATTTTTACCACCTGTTTCTAAAAGAGTTAATTTTCTTTATAACTGCTATTTATTTACTTTTTTGACACAGGGTCCCACTCTGTTACCCAGGCTAGAGTGCAGTGGTGTAATCATGGCTCACTGCAGCCTCGAACTCCTGGGCTCAAACTATCCTCCCACCTCATCCTCCCGAGTAGCCGGGACCACAGGTGTGCATCATCACGCCTGCCTAATTGTTTTTTTAATAGAGTCTCACTATGTTTCAGAGTCTGGTATTAAACTCCAGGGCTCAGGCAACCCTCCTGCCTCAGCCTCCCAAAGTGCTAGGATTACAGACATGAACCACCACACCCAGCCTATAACCTCAATTTTTTAAAAAGACTGAGTGATGTAGAACAGGGGTAAACGCTTTGACAGGAAAGTGTGAGGTGCTGTGAGCAGCACGGGGGCCTTAATCCCATGTCACTAACCAGATCGACTAGCTCTCTCGAAAGCTGATTTTTTTCTTCTCACCTTTGACGCATCAAATGGTATCTTCCTACAGCCCACGTCTGAAGACTGCACTCCTCAAAAAGCAAAGGCACCAGGGGTGGAGCTACCTGTCCTGAGAAGGGAAAAGTGGAGAGGAAGCTGCCCTGCCTGGTGCACCGCTCAGTCTCTCATATCCACGCTTCGGCCTGGACCGGTTCCCATTCCAGCTGCAGGCTATTTACATCTTGAGAGGAGGCTCTAAGAAGTTCCTAAAGAAACAGAGGAAGCTGTTTCTTTGGAAGGCCAAGGCAGGCAGATCACTTGAGGCCAGGAGTTCGAGACCAGCCTGGGCAACATGATGAAACCCCATCTCTACCAAAAAATACAAAAATTAGCTAGGCATGGTGATGCACACCTGTAGTCCCACCTACTTGGGAGGCTGAGGCAGGGGAGCCACTTGAACATGGGAGGTGGCACTCCAGCCTGGGCAACAGAGCAAGACTGTCTCAAAAAAAAAAAAGTTACTAAAGAAACAGAGGAGGAGGAAAAGGGGGAGGTAGGCAAAAAGTCCAAAAAAAAGATAAATCAGTGGTATCAACCTAAAATAATTGAAAACAGAGACTCAAACAGATCTCTGTACACCCATGTTCATAGAAGAATTATTCACAACAGCCCAAAGGAAAAACAACACAAGTGTCCATCAACAGGTACATGGATAAACAACAGGTAATAAATGCATATGATGGAATATTATTCAGCCTTGAAAAGGGATGAAGTTCTGACACATGCTGCGACACAGATCAACCTTAAAAGCAGGATGCTGCCTGAAAGAAGCCAGGCACAAAAGGTCACACAGTGTAGGAGTTCCCTTATCTGAAATATCTAGAATAGGCAAATCCATAATGGGCTGCCAGGGGCTGGAAAGAAGGGAATGGATATGAAGTGACTCTTTAATGGGTAGAGTTCTATTTGGTGTGATGAATACGTATTGGAAATAGATAGTGGTGATGATTGCACAACATTGTAAATATACTTAATGCCACTGAATTTCAGACTTCAAAAATGGTCAGAATGGCACAATTTCATATTGCGTCTATTTTACCGTAATAAAAAATGTTTTGTTTTTTTTTTTAAAATCACAGGTGACACACGGACATATTGTCCTTATTCTTTCTAACAGCAAAATTAAGAGGGTGGGGATCAGGGACCAAGCAGATTGGTGTTGAACCTCAGCACTGTTGTCTCAAGCTGTGTGACCTTGGACAAATCCCTTAACATCTCTGAGCCTGTTTTCTAATCTGTAACAGTACCTACAACTAAGGGTGGTTGTGAACACAATGGATGCAAACCACAGTGCCTGGCTCTTAGTGTTGAATACATAGTGGTGATTGTTAAGACACCTAAAAGGCACAAAATTCTTCTCCACCTCCAAGAGCTGTACCAGGCTGGGTGTAAAAAAGGCAGAAGGGGAGGCCACATCATCTGCCTCCAAGGCTCAGGTTCTGAGCCCTATGAGACGAGGCTGAGTGCCTGCAAGATGACAGTAGAGGCAATAATTCAGTGACAGGGGCTCTACACAGAGACTTCAAAGAAACATCCAAAGGGTATCTTCCAAGGTTGGGTACATAAGAACATCAGCTGTAGGTGTTCAGTGAGGGCAGTAGGATAAATTATAAGGGAAAAATTACGGGAAAACCACAAACCTTCTTGGAAGGCCAGAGGGTCTTGCAAAAGCCTCAGAATAGGATTTGGCTGAAGAAAGCCAGATTCTTTTATCCAGTGCCTGAAAGCTCAGGTTAGATTACAAGGGGATGTAAAGAAATTGATCTAGATAAGTTAGTTTACTTACAGTATGTAGGCCTCGGAACCTGGCCTTTAATCATCTGTAGGACTGCTCTCTCCAGGGAGGGCAACCATGTTAATTATCCACAAATGTGCTGACTCAAAGCATTTGTCATTAAATCTATATTGAATAAATGCCCACAGCACCAGCTGGTAAGGACCACAGCTGCTGACTCTTTACAGCACCCTCCTCAGGGTCTGTAAGCTGCCTGGACCCCTAGCCCCCTCTTTCACTGGATATCTGTGTCTGAGTGCATTTGTTCATCCAACACTGGGTCAGGGTCTGTGGGTTGGACCCAACAGTCAGCCTTTCTGAAGGCCCTTGGTATGTGCATTTCCCAAACACCACCTGTGACTAGGCTGCTTTGGGGGCCCACAGCTCACCTCTGTGCAGGGCCAGGAGGAAAAAGGGCAGAAGCCAGAGGGCCCTGCTGGACACCATCTCAGATGGCCACAGGAGCAAGGGACCAAGATTGCTGTTATGAGCAGGTTTATTGAGCCCCCCATACAT